GACGATGCCGACTACGATGCCGGCGAAACGTTTGGAAATGTACCGCGTCCACGGTCCGACTTTGGAAATAATTATGCATATAATTGGCTCAGGACAAGGTACGTTTCTATATGTCTTCCTACCAATATGACCAAATTGCGAAAACAAGGTCAAACAACTTCCATACAACGGAAGGAGACTGCCACCACAAAAAAAGGCCACATCATCTTTGTCTTCATACTTTCGATTGATCCATTAAAGTTAAACGATTTCAAGTAAAGCCTGAATGAGCACCCCTGAAGGTGCAAAAAGTCAGTAACTGTAGAAGCCCATTATATCTATCGGTTAGGGAAGCCACCTAATAATAAGTATATAGAAAATGTAGGCAATGAAGTTAGCTTCGGGCGTTAAAAAAGTCTGTATAGGTTTAAAATTTTCTGAAGTGAAGCCTAATTATATACAAAGGACAATTTGTTTGCAAGAGGCAATCACACAAACCACAAAGGTTACCTTGAGTATGGCAACCAATTCCAGAGAGATGATTACTTTCCGAACCAAAATTATCCTTCTCACTTTGAGGAAGGCCATTCGCCTTGGATTCTGTCGCCTGGTTGTTTGAAGTCAAATCGAGACCAGTTACATTCGTTGAGCTGCCATCGGTAAGATCGGCGGAACTGTTCCAGAGTGTCGTCTCATCAATTCCAGCCAAATGAGCAGTTTGGCGCATCGCGATAGCTCCAAGGCGCACTGAATGTTTTCTAATTCGCTCAAGAAAGTCAGTCAGCTCCATTAGACTCTTGGCCTTGTATAAAGTGAATTTTGTAAAAATACTTAGCTCAAGGAACAAAAAAGTACGTAATTGCTCAATTAATTATGGTGTGTAATTTAGTAAGTTTAATAATATATGCGATTAATTTGAGCGGATCAGCTAAAACAAATGGAGAACTTTATTAACCTCTAAGAAAAGTATAATCTTACTTTCAGATTGAAGTTATCGCATTAAGTCAGGATTCATATTGTAAATAACGAAGGGAAAGAAAATATATTTATATGCACAAAAAGAAAGAAAACAATGCATTTTTGATAAAATTGTAAGTTAAAGCAAGTTCAACCCAAAAAAACTAAAGAGTTTGCATTTGTTAACTATATTGCCATACGTTCCCGATTGGCATACATGTGGGTTAAATGGCTGAGAAATAAAGCATTATAAGAATTAATCTGTAAAACGATTTTAAAAATAGATTCATCCTCAAAGGTAACTTCATAAAACGAATAAATGTAAGCTGATATGTGGTTCAAGAAATATTTCAAATTTGTATGTCACACGAAAGATTTATGTTAATTGGATAATTAGAAGTGTACAAAGCAAGTGAATTACGAAACAAATATTTTTAGGTGATAGCAACATTCGGTTATATAATCAGAAAGTAATGAGGGTATGGATCACAAAGCTGTCAAGTTTGCACAAATTAGGTGTTAGAACATTATGAGGCCTTTAAAAAGTAAAAAAATCTATTTGTAAAATCAAATAATACAAAAATTCAAATTAATTATTAGGGATGAACGAGACTACCTTGATTTCCTGTCTCAGCTTGGGTATGCGCCGGCTTAATGCTTCAGAAAAGGTGAATTGGCGAATTTGCTCTAGTTGAGTTTTTTCTAGATGCTCAAGTATTTTTAGAGCGTGATAATAACGACCATCTTCGATACTTCGTTCTACGCGAGAGTATTGGTCAATTATAGGCAGGCAAAGCTCAAGGGCCTCAATACATTGGTCGATATTGCTTAGCATTACATGGCAATTTGAAAGCTCAGTACTTGCTTCTCCTAGCTAATAAAAAAATTAAATAATATTATGAGCCAACTAAGGAATTTCATAGAGAAATTTATCAGAAAAATGTAGAGTGCACGAAGTGTAAATAGAGTTATCAACTAATTAATCAGGAATACATGCCAAATGCAAATAGACTCCTTTTAAAGATTAAAATTTTTTAACATGTGAGCACCATGAAAAAGCAAAACGTCGAGAGGAAGTAATTGGCAGATTTGACGATTTAGTAAATCGTAAAAGCCATTAACTATGAATCAAAGCGCATGATATCTATTTAATTCATTTTAGAAATGAAGAGACGATTTAAAAAAATATTTAAATTATTATTCGATTTTTTCTGTCCAAATTCAAACATAAACTGCATCAATTAAGCAAATCGATTCAGCGAAAAAATCTTTTTAATTTAATGAGTCGATAGCACGAATACATCTTATTTTTTAAAATAGACTAAATTCGATTTTAAAAATATGTTCTATATATCGCGTACTAACCTCATTAACCTGATCCTGGATAGCTTTATAGTTTTCTAGCATTTGAGCCTTGAGGACTCCTGCCTCTTCTTGGATAGACACAAGCTCCCGGGTAGAGTCAGCAAGGCCTTCATAATGATGATTGCATGTGCGTTCTATTTCAATATTTCTTTCGATAATTAATTGGTCTAGCTCTGCGATAAATTTGGCCACAACTTCACCCGTAGGACCTCCCACTCCGGCATTATAAGCGGTTACTTCGTATTCACGTAGTTTTCTAATTACATTTGCGATTGAGCCGCTGCTACCTGACTCAATCTCACTTAATAACGATTCATAGTCGAGGGAAAGGATGCTCATATTGTGGCAAAATGTTTTTGAAGCAAAAAAGTCAATTTAGACGTTTGCCAAGCCAAGCTAAATAGTGACAGACTAGCATCATGATTTCTTTAAAGGATAGTCACTAAGAGATAATTATGACATAATAAAATAAGGCAGTTTAAGAATAAAGGAACTAATTCTTCAAAAGAAAATAGAAAAAAGCTGATCTAGGATACACATAGCCAAATGCCGCGCAATCACAATAAAGAGTAAAACAAATAGTTTTGTTTTAATGAATTAAAAAATATTGTAATACGTAATAAAGCCTTGTTATAGAATATGTATTATTTGATAATCCTTCTTTGTTAGCTAAATGTTAATAAAACTGAATAAATCGTCTCATATTTGTAAATCAAAGTTATGAAATATTTTAGTGGTCTATTATATTATAGCTGTATTCACCCTATTTTGTCTGGGCTGATAATAACTATCGTTTTAATTTTTCACAATGATTGTTGCTGTATGATCGCCAGTGAAGCAACGTTGCATTTGCTATTTTTGCTTGTAAGAAGGTTTTGAGGACACCAGTATATTTTAGATACCCTTAGTTTTCATCATATTCTGTTTAAGGTTTACATCCCCCTTCAAAAATGAAATATGCGAAAAGCCTCGCCTTACATAAATTTTTTAAAGCCTCGAGATCCTTGTAATATCGTGTTAATTGGCTACATTGATCTACGCGTCGAGACTATACACTAAACTTGCTACGTTCAATTTATATTGAGGCCTATAAAGAGTAGAAATGCCTTCCACTCTGTATTGGGATACTGTTTCGTAAGCAAAGCTATGTAAAACTTGAGGCATACTCATATAATTATGAAAAAAATCGCCTACAAGTCCTTCATCACCTTTGATAAAATAGTGTGATTACAGCACTAATACAAGATAGACTGGCTATATCAACATATAAATATAAACTAAAATGCTTTATTACATACAAAAAAGTGTTTCTCTAGGCTAAAGTAGCATTCTTTTGTTAATTTATATATCTTATATATATATTTATTTATTTATATTTATATATCCTATTAGAGCCTATGTTCAACTATATTTTTAATTTAACTTTGTACACGTTATTAGTAATCCCCGCGTAAATATTTTGGACATTAAGTAAATATACTCAGTCCTATTTTTAGACGACCATAGCTTTGATTAAAATCAATACCATTTTCTCTCTTATTTTAATTGACAATTGAACCTAATATAAAATTAAAGCTAACAATCACTAGAGCATGGATCAAAACAAGTCTTTCGAAACAACACCATTTATTTCTCCAATAAGATACACCAAAAATATTTTACATTTAGGACTTGGAGCCGACACACACAAATATTGATGAAACATTTTCTCATTTATTCAAGCCTGAGAACTATAAGATCTCCATTATTACTTTCCCTCCTAAAGCTGCCTTTGCTTTCCTGCGAACCTCACAGTCGTATAACGTTCCACTAGTGTTTCTTATCTGAAGCAATATCAGGCTAAGGCCTACAAATTCCACTCGTCCACAGAAGTTCATCAAATTAATTGGTTATTGTTATGACCAGAATGTAGCTGCTTTAATTAAATTTTTAACAGTTTATATTTTTATCGTTGCAGCCTTCATCTTGCATTATTGGATGCGTACTACAACAGAAATCAGCCAACAAAAGTTAATAAAATTTTCTCATGAAGGAAAAACTTCCTTTATGTAAAATGGTTATAGATTTATACTAGGCTGTGTAGAGTTATACACAATTACAAT